CCATCTATAATTATCGAGATTGGTATTTGTTTTATCTCACTTTAGTGGGAGTAACGACGGAGATGAAATGGAGATCAGCAACTCATCACATCCTCTTGAGTTTGAAATTGAGAACGTACTGGCATTTTATACCAAAACAAGGTGTCAAACTTTCGATACTTTTCTTGAATTAAAAGCATGACAAATGCCCAGATACCTCCTGTTTGCTAATACTGAAGGAGGTCTCTTCTAACGCCAGTTTGTCATATCTTCTCGAGTTAATTAATTCTCCCCTGCGATTGACTTACCTCCACGTGGAGCACCCTGGGCAACGTATACTCATACGGCAAAAAGTCTATTAGCCGGCAGTTGACTTCTGACTTTAAGCTACCACCACCCAACTGTATGTCATATTCCACCACTTTCACAGAATTCACCTCACCTTTTTCTACCTTTTCACCCTTCGTCTTTGAAACACTCTTCTGTTCCTCCCCCCTTCTCTCGACTTTTTTTCACTGTGATATTTCTTCCCCTCTGTGAAGACTGAAGTCAACTAAAGGGCTAATGATAACCATCAAAACGCCTACCATTTAACATAAATAAATAAATCGAAAACTTGTCATTTTTTATCCAGCCCCGTTATATTCTTACACGCATACACCCACGCTAAATAAAACTGTCATCTCTCTGGTCGTAGAGGCCATCTCGTGACAACTAAAGGCTATACATGAGGGTAGTTAAAATTAAAAAATAGTAAGAATAATTTAAATATATGGTTAATATGAAACTGAGAGAGAAAAGATAATAATAATAAACGTTTCGCTCTCCGTAAAGATCCCCAAGAAATGTCGCCTAAAACTCGATATCAGAAGCTCTATAATAGAGTCCTGAGGGGTTTGAACAATTTAAAACCCACGATTGTGCACTATTCGTGCCTTGAAAATGTTATTACGTCTTTTTTTGCAAAATTACAGATACATATTTTCATTATTGATTTTTAGAACACGAAGTTGCTTCTCAACCATCCAATATAAAGATACAATGCCATAAATTTGATAAGTAATAAAGTGCATTTTTTTCCAGCGAAAGTCCTTCGCAAGTCTTTTAATAACTTAAAAATACCATTAAAAATTATATTTTAAATCAAATCTTTTTCCGATTATGCTGTATTAAGTAGGTGAGACGATTAAAAAAAGCAAAATTGTTTATTCGTATTGTTCTTCTTTCAAACTCTTGTCTTAATATTCCTCTTCGTCATCGTTAAGGCAACTGTACACAAAAGCCATTTCCGCAAGCCAAAGTTGAAAAATAGTTGTTCCAGTAATTAAAGTAACGACATTGAAGATATCATACCCGCCAGTTGCAGCGTCGAATAGCACCGAAACATATTCCTAAAATACAGTTGAAGTAGGCATACATGGTAGTAATAGAAGCAAAAAAAACAAACATAAATTAATAGCAAGCAAGAGGTACTCACATTCTCAGAAACTTCATATAATTTATCAACAACAGGATTCTTATCAACTTTCGCTACTTCTAACGCCGTACCTAAATTGGACCTAAAGTCATATTTAATCTACCGCATATACTGAAACCAACAAAGATCAGTACCTTGCTTCCTATAATGTAGTTTATCACTCCCATAATTATTTCCGCCACGCACAAAATAGCAACTAATAGAGAATACTAGGAACAAAAAAAACACAATTAATAGATAAAAAACTCCGTAGGGCTTCACTCACTATTACAAGCCAACGATTTCTGCGCCCGAGGGTTCCAAAGAAGCCCAATACCCCGACGACTATTAGGTAAACACCGATTCCCATCGTGTAGACCGCAAGACCATAGCTTCCTTTCCAGTTATATTCTTTTTCGTGCTGTAGTTGGTAAAATGCAAATGTAATAACTGGAATTGAGCAACACTAGAAGTAATTGTTGGGTAAGCAGCCAAAATTTTACCAGAATTCCAAAGTTAAAAATGAGTAATATCCAACGATAAGTAATAGTAATGATCTTTATCAGAACCATGCAAATTACGAACTAGAGCAACCAAACTAGATGAGATCTTTTAGTGCTGAGCTTGACCTTGGTGATCAAATTATAAGCAGCAAAAATGAGTGGTATCAGCCTCTATGTGCATCACATGAAATATTAGGCAATGAAAGACAATTTTCAGAGTAATACAAGAGATCATTTTATCTTGTTAGAGTCATAGCAAAAGGCCTAAAATTTTTCAACCTTGGTAAAGCTTTTAGCGTTTCTCGCAAACCGGTACATTTCCATTGACAAGTAAAGAAATGAAGGGATTAATGTTTCTAATTGACCACATCGGTTAATTGATAATGTTGTCAGAGAACATATTAAAATTGATCTATACATTTCGTTAATAAAAACTTCCGACAGTATCAAATGATTCTAGAAAGTTCTATTACCACATTTATGAAAACAATAGGCTTTGGCGTTGTAACTAATTCTTCTTCAGTAAGTTAAACAATAAAAAAGTATTGATCATCCACATTGCGCGAGCATAATAAGATGTCATTAAGTAGTGCAATATAAAAATGAGGTTTATAATTATTAGAATTTTGTTTAAATAATGGTTTCCTCGATCTATTTCTGAAACGGAACTTTAAGAAACACTTTGAAGATATTTTAGTGAGTAGGGACGCGTCATCGAAAATGAGAAACTTCCATCTTTAGTAAAGACAACCAAATGCCAATTAGCATCTGCAATAAAGACGGAATATTTGGACAGTCTATTATTGGTTCTTCCGTTAATTACATTCTCACTTTGAATAGTTTTATAGTTTAATAAAGAGTTTGGAAATTTAGTGAACAGTATTCGGAATTCATTGATTTAAAAATTTAACGAAAGGGTCTTTCGCAGCAAAAATAAAAAAACTTTTATTCAAATATAAGCGCGTCTTCTTGATTTGATTGCCAGAAGATATATGTTTTGCAATTGATATAATAATTAAAAAAGCAAATAAAAAACTAAAAAAATGTGAGGCTTTCTTTTCATTTAAAATTAATTTGAGCATAAAATGTTTGATATTTAGCTATGGTTTAAATGGTTATTTGAATAAACGCGACAGCCTCGTCAAGGAAAAGAAAAAAGGGATTTCTAACAGCAAAATAAAGTTGATTTAAAAAGGAATTTTAAGGACAAGGAACTAATGCTATTTTTAAGCTATCTCAGACAAAACAGCCACAAACAGAGTCTATTACGGCCATTATCTGACCACGGAATTTTACCCGGAACTTGGAACAAGCCTATCTTACGTTAATAGTCAGCTGAGTTATGCTCTGCTGGAGTGGGGGGGGGGGGATTTGGAGTGAAATTTGGAAACCAAATGTTGGGATTGGTACTAATTGGCTACAGACCCACATTCGCAATCCAGGACTTATCTACTTCACTGGCCAATACTTCCACTTAGACAACTAAATGCCATCTATGCACACAAGTTCCTCTTTTACAATGAGTAGAGGGAGACAGAAGGTGACATCACCATCGGAGACTGAGGTGGCAGAGGAGGGCACACATCTAAAACTCATGACATTTAGGGTGAATTTAGTTTACATGAGGACTAGTGAACTGCTCCTTGGATTGCATGTAAGTCAGGCCATCTGCTTTTGGAGGCGTTATGCCTTCGGTTTTAGTAGAATTTATTGTCATTGGAAAAGAAAGAGGTGGTTTGTGTTTCATTAAGGATGTTTTAAGTTGCTTGATGGAAGTTTTGTCTTCTTTGCCAGACGGCACTTTTGCACAACCTCTTCTAACATTCTATTCGTAACATTCCAGATTGAGGTTATTTTTTAATTATTACTCGATTGACTTGTGGTGCAAGATTAGAGCTAGAGTGGTTCAGAAATAAGCTACTAATCCGTAAACTTGAAATGGTGACCCATCTAACTACATACTCTATAAATTTCCAGTTCCTTTGCACTCTGAAGTCAAAAGACAGGGAATAATCAAATACACCTATTCAAAAGGAAGCTTCATTGCCATATTTGGCATCTCAGATTTGAGGCAACTTTGTTAAGAGTTGGAGGTTACAATTTTGGCAGCCTTCTAAAGTTACTAATAAGAGCTATCTTACTTACTGCAGCCAATTTGAACCCCACAACCAAGGTCAAAGCCTCCTTTGTCTGCTTAAAAATCATACAACCAAGGCGTAATAGAAGTGATAAATAACACTGAAGCCCTAGTTTAACATGATTAATTAAGACGTAGGAATCTCCAAAGGTATAATGATGCATATGGAGATCCATGATCGTTTACCTAAGATTCTCTCTGGTTTACATTTGATATTTATTTTTTGTCATTTGGATTGAAGATGAGCTCATTTTAGATCATTTTAGGATTTCCTTGAATCCTAGGCTAACTTATACCTCAAGTATTTTTCATCTCGTGAATTGCAAAAGAAATATCTTCGTTCCTTCAGGATTAAAATTAATTGGTCAGAATGCCTTCATGTAACTGCGCGCTAGGCAAAGATATTGATTTTTATAAAATTTTTAGAAGAGAAACTTGGAAGTCAGTAGCAATCAGCTAGGAAAGAAATTTTCCGCATTAAAAGTTTGAAATTTACCCGAAGTTATATACCGCGTAATATCTGTGATATGCACAACCCTATCAAGGCCGACCACAGCAACATCTCACTTGGTGGAATAACATGGAAAGTTCGGTCCTGGTTGCGGAGGTCCTCCCAGTCAACCAGCGATTTATCTTCACTCAAATATACTCGTTCATGTCTGTCATAGAGCCACTAAATGCACTTCATTTCATACGATTGTCCTCCTCAATATCGTTAGGGCAGATTAAGGAAGAATTTCTTGTGCAATCGTATTCAAGGCAGATTTTATCAGAGGAGATTTCCGGGGGTTTAGCCTCGGCTAATTTGTGAAGTTTCCTCAGCATACCTGGACAAACTTTACTACTGCTTATGTTAACTGTGTAACAGAATCACCAAAACCACAAATTCAGAGGTTATTGATGAGTGGAGTACGCGTTTCATATCGTGACTTAATTAAAATGATAATTGACAAGAGAGTAATCATTTTTTATCAATAGATCGGAGAACTTTGAAGTGATCAAACAGAGTAATTAAGAAGTAATTTGCGACTTGCAGAAAGAAAGAAATGTGAAATTTTACGCAGAGGACATGGGGAAACGTGGGTAGCATTAGATTTAAGGTTTTTTATTGCATACTTGTGTTCGTTTGAAGTCTCTTAAACAGCCTTAAACTCTTTTAGAGAACAGAAGCTCTCTCGATTTTTTCCGCAGGAGGTACGTCACAGTCCCTCTTTTAATTAATTCTCCCTAGTATTCCTGTCAATTATATCATGAGGTCAATGGACGCGAATAGTCGGTTTCACCACAGGAAGTCCTAACAAGATTATATGAGTCTGATTTGGCTTATGCTGAGCCAAAAAGTCCTTATCGATTGACAGGATATTCTTATTTTAGTCATTCCAATAATTTATTGATTTTTGATCCATTATTATTAAAAGTGATAGAAAGTGAAAATTTAGGGGAAGGGATTGCGAGGTATTAGAAAGGAAGGTAGTTAATTGAAGTTATTTATTACTATTGAGATATGCATAATTTTGAGCATCTGACACCCCATTTCAATTACCATTTTAGGCATGTAATGAAACATGGCGTTTTCATGTATCTTATTTATACTTTATTATTATTGATTATTTTATTATTTGACCATTTATTGCCACATGGATAACCTACATTTTTTGCATTAAGTAGCTTTCAAGAGATCATGTCGCACACTGCCGCATCATGAATTAAATATAAGCAAGTCAATTGCAAACACTAGTTTTCTTATTATTTTAATATTGATTGAAAATTTATTGACTGAGGAAAAAATTGCAAGAATTTTTACTATAAGATCCAATATAAGCATACACATTGTATTGACAAGTTTAATTTGATTTCTGGATAAATCTAACGGGCACTTTGAATTAAATATATGCCTGTCTCCATTTAGGTCTTTAGTCTTTTCATTGTTCCAGAACATGGTAGATTTATCCACATAATGTGAAGCTTGAGTGCAGAGGGTAGGTACGTGCTTAAAACGATTTAAAGAACGGTAGGAGGTGTCGAACCAAATTCAGGGTCAAAATTTTTACTAATTATCAAATAATAAGCCAGTAAAAAAAATGAAAACAAAACAACCATTTTATGACAAAAATCATCAGAATATTTTTTTCCCAATTAATGGAGTTTTGTGAAGATAAAATGAAAAAATGATAAAAAAGCGCATTCCAATTTGTAGAGTTCAACATAGCCGACTAAAAAACTTATTTAAACAAAGCAGTAATCAAACTGTTTATGCAAAGTCAATGTTGTCTGTTTCCAACCAAAGCTCAGCACATCGATGACTCAGTTTATTTGTCCTTTCCTTTAAACACCCCGATTTAAAGGGACTTGGTGTAAACACTCGATCCTCCTTGCACTACTTTACTCTCTTAGGCTCGGGGTGCGCGATAGACTTACCTCCACGTGGTGCACTCTGGACAACGTATCTTCGTACGGCAAACAAGTCTATCACTCGGCATTTGATTTGACTTTGATTTATTATGATTAGCTTGAAACAAGGCTATAAGAGAAAGCGCCCTCGTCAGGGTGAATCACAACGTCTTTAGAACCTCCAGTGGAATGCTGGATCTTTGAAGTCACAGGACAAAAAGATCCAAGTACAGAAAATCCTACAAACCTATGATGCAGACATTTCCACAATTATGGAAGCAAACATTTCGGATGACAAACTGAAGTACTACCGATTCCCAGGTTACACCCTGTATCTTCTACCTAAATACCGGCAAGTTGCAAGTGGAATTCTGACTGGAGTTGAAGAAGGTCTCACCTCACACTACGATCTAACCAAGAGTATGGGCTCGACACAAGACATATGTGAAATAATCAGATAAAATGTTTGGAAATGTTAAAACCACTTCAAGATATATGCAGTCTATAATCCACCCCAGAATTTTCCCAACTTTGACTTTCTGAACATCTCACACAAAACTGTAGTATTAGGAGACTTCAACGCCCATTCCACCAGATGGGATTACAAGGATACAAACATAGCTGGAAAGGAAATCGAAGACATGCTAAACAGCAACTCTCTGGAACTTATTTACAGTTATGAGGATCCGGCTACATATTTGCACTACAATGGAACCAGAACAACTCCCGACTTACTCTTGGCTTCAAGCGACATCAGCGAGCATACACGCCACAAAGTAATTGACGATCCTGGTTCTGGTCACAAACCAGAAATTCCTAGTATTACCATCGGCAGCAAAAGCATGACAAGAAAAGTGCCAACGAAGCTATCATGAAACTTCAAGAAGTCTGACTGGCCTAGATCCACAAACCTTTTAGAGAATGAACTTCACACAAGTCCCCTCAACTTCAACCAACACCCTGAC